ATTGATGCTTCTGTCTGTTTTTTTTTTTTTCCCCACAACATAATGCTTTTGAGATTCATCCATGTTGCTACATATATTGGTAGTTCATTTCTTTTTACTGCAAGGTAGTATTCCACTGCAAAAATGTAAAATAATTTGTTTATGCGTTTAAATATGTCGATGGATATTTGAGTTATTTCTGGGTTTTGGTTATTATGAATGAGACTGTTATGAATATTTGTGTACAAGTTTTTAGGTGGATGTATGTTTTTATTTTTTCTCTTGAGTATATGCCTAGTAATGGGGTGCATGTTTGACTTTATAAAAAACTGCCAAGTTGTTTGCTAAAGCAGTCATATCATTTTTACATTCCCATCAGAAAGTAGGAGAGCTCAAATTGCTTCACAAGTTTGTTAACACTTGGTATTGTCAGTATTTTTAATTTTAGTCATTGCTGAAAAGAAAAAGCAGAAACCAATGCTTTAAGAATGTTAATCACAGAGGCATCTCAGTACATAAGCATTTGTACATATCATTCGAGAAGTCAATCAATCCGTGATTCCAGTGAGAAACACTCAAATCCTATCCCAAGACACCATAAAGAACTGGAGAGATTCTTTTTCTCCTTCTATAATTAAACCTAAATAAACTAAGAAAGATCATCTTCTTTATCCCACTCCAGTACCTTTTTTGGATACCTCCAAAGGATATTTAAACCGCTCTGAAAACAGTAAGTCTTATGATCACAGACCTCTAACTCTGATCATAAACTGTATTAGATATTGGGAAAAAATTCACACGAAGAAAAGTTAGTAAAAGACATTGGATATATATGAAACACCCATGTCTAGATACATATTTTGGCAAGCTTTTAAAGCAGTGATACTTCCTCCTTTTTTAAAATTTAATGCTTCATGCTGTTTGAAGAATGGTTAAAAATTATTTGCAGACATTGTCCTAATTTGGACAAAGTTTGCCAGTTCAAAATGGATCGCTGGATTTCATCAACCAAACCACAATAGTTGAAGGGCCTGGCCTCCCAGAAGGCGTAGGCAGTTCACACTAATAGCAGGAAGAAGACTGTCATTCCAGGGCTCGGCTTTCACTTCACAGACTCCTATGAGAGCTGAGCTACAAAGAGGTCATCCCTACCTAGACTGAATAGAATAGGAGAAATTCAAAATCCTGCTTAGTCTTTTAATGAACCTGCCATTTCCTCTGCCTGGAATGCCCTCTCACCCACACAATCCTCTTTTCAAAAGTGAAGCCCTGCTTTTCTCGAAATTCTTGGTTCTCCCAACCAGGACAAATTCTCTGCATACATGCGTTCCCATCATTGTATTTTTTTTAATCTTTCACAGTTTATAACTATGTTTATTTTAGTGACAGATTAATGTCTATTGCTGCTTGTCCACCAAATTAGGTAAGCTGCATGAATTCTTTTCATAGCGGTACCCACAGAAGCTAGAATGCTTGGCATAGAAAAATTCTTAATAAATATTTGAGTAATTGCTAATTAAAACATTACCTTATCAGGGATGTAACTGATATGCTTCTAAGCTTCGCACAAGTTGAAAAATAAAGGTGGCTGCTTCTTTGTCACTTACAAGAAGAATCAAATTGCAAAAATCTTGGGTGTCAAAGTTGCCTGCCCTTCTCCTGCCCCAGTTTCCACTATACTATCTGCTTCAATGTCAGATCTACTCTATCAGTCTGTCCTCTCAAGATTCAAAACCATGAAAAGACTGAAGAACAAAAGATTTTCCTCCATTAGAATGCAACAAAAAAGCAATTCTCACAGTTTTGGACTTTAAACCTGAAAGTCTTGGTAATTTGTAAAGGAAATACAGTTATTCCTTAAGTCCCAGGTCATTATCTTCTATGGCAGGGGAAATGAAATGGTTATGCTTTTTCACTGAGATGAGGTTGTTAGAGTCCCTATATCACTCTTGGAGGCTTCATGATCAGAATTAGGCAGACAACAGCAAATGTCTAAAATGCAAACAACTGTTCGTCAATTATACATATGTACTAGGCAAAATTCAAGTGGTTTCTAGACCATCTACCTTTCTTTCAACTACTCATCTACAAGAAATCTCAATGAAATATTGAGAAAATAGAGCTTAACAAAATTAGAATCACTAGGTGTCTATACTAGGCCAATGTTCAGCCCAGTCCAAATGCAAACCAATATTTATTTAAGTGTATTCTATTCATCGTTTGTGTAAGCAGAACTCCGGAATCTAAATTTAAGAATATGAAAATATTTTTAAGACCTGGGCTGGGCGTGGTGGCTCACGCATAATCCCAGCACTTTCAGAGGCCAAGGGGAAATGACTGTTTGGAGCTGGGAGTTTGAGACCAGCCTGGGCCATATGACAAGACCCCATTGCCACAAAAACGGCAAAAATGGTGGTTCATCCCTGCAATCCCAGCACTTTGGGAGGGCTAAGTAGGAGGATTGTTTGAGCCCAGGAGTTCGAGACCAGCCTAGGCAACAGAGTGAGAACTCATCTTCACAAAAAAAATACAAAAATCAGCTGGGCACAGTGTTGTGTGCCTGCAGTCCCAGCTCTCAGGAGGCTGAGGCAGGAGGATCGACTGAACCCAAGGAGGTCAAGGCTGCAGTGGGCCATGGCTGTGCTACTGCACTCCAGCCTGGGCAACAGAGTGAGACCCTGTCTCAAAACAAAACAAAACAAAACAAAACACAACAAAACACACTTGAATTTCATTAATAAAATTCTAGGAAGGTATTAGGTGAGGCTACTTCTTTCTTCCACTTAGTCATTAGATATTAATCGAGGCCCTAGAATATGCCAGGCACTGCTTAGCACATTAAAGAAATACAAATGTCTTCTAACAATAACCAAGTTTTTAAAATTAACCTAATCCTTATTTTTAATAACCAGAAACCAATGTTTCAAGGTCAATTCTCTCACACTCATTTAAATAAAAGCTTTCTTCCTTTTTTTTTTTTTTTTTTTTTTAAGCAGAGTCTCACTCTATCACCCAGGCTGGAGTGCAGTGGTATGATCTCGGCTCATTGCAACCTCTGCCTCCCGAGTTCAAGCGATTCTCCAGTCTCAGCTGTCTGAGTAGCTGGGATTACAGGCAGACACCACCATGCCTGGCTAATTTTTGTGTTTTTAATAGACAGGGTTTTACTATGTTGGTCAGGCTGGTCTCGAACTCCTGGCCTCAGGTGATCCTCCTGCCTTGGCCTCTCAAAGTGCTGGGCATTTATAGGCATGAGCCACCAGGCCTGGCCCATTGAAAAATAATTCTTACCAAAGTGTTATGTTCTTACTTCATTTTTTTCGTTTGTCTGTTTTAATTACACTTTATGTTCTAGGGTACATGTGCAAAATGTGCAGGTTTGTTACATATGTATATACACATGCCACATTGGTGTGCTGCACCCATTAACTCGTCATTTACATTAGGTATGTTTCCTAATGCTATCCCTCCCTCGTCCCCCCACCCCACAACAAGCCTGGGTGTGTGATGTTCCCCTTCCTGTGTCCAAGTGTTCTTCATTGTTCAGTTCCCACATATGAGTGAGAACATGCGGTGTTTGGTTTTCTGTTCTTGTGATAGTTTGCTGAGAATGATGGTTTCCAGTTGCATCCATGTCCCTACAAAGGACATTAACTCATCCTTTTTTATGGCTGCATAGTATTCCATGGTGTATATGTGCCACATTTTCTTAATCCAATCTGTCACTGATGGACATTTAGGTTGGTTCCAAGTCTTTGCTATTGTGAACAGTACTGCAATAAACATATGTGTGTTTACTTCGTTTTAATCTAAGACACAATCTTAGAAATTTACATGTTCTTTCTGGTAAAAAGTTACTTTTGACTTTGGGAGGCCAAGACGGGCGGATCACGAGGTCAGGAGATCAAGACCATCCTGGCTAACACGGTGAAACCCCGTCTCTACTAAAAAATACAAAAAACTAGCCAGGCGAGGTGGCGGGCACCTGTAGTCCCAGCTACTAGGGAGGCTGAGGCAGGAGAATGGCATAAACCCGGGAGGCAGAGCTTGCAATGAGCTGAGATCCAGCCACTGCACTCCAGCCTGGGCGATAGAGCGAGACTCTGTCTCAGAAAAAAAAAAGAAAAGTTACTTTTACCCTAAAATAAATTCTGATAAATGATCAAAGGTTTAATTTTTTAAAAAGCTAGAAAGGGGTCCAAAAAAGTAAAGTTTGATTCCCAAAACTACAATTGAAGGAAATTTTTTACAAAGATAAACTAAACTAAGCTTAAATCTTCCATCACTCCATACAAGAAATATTATCAGAAATATCATAAATGCCCCAGGTATTTAGATTAGCATCACCCACAACTCCATGAAAAATTTATCCAAATTTTATCTCAACAATCTTAATACAAATCCATTGTAAATTCCACATATCTCCTATAATCACAAACAGAAAGAGAGAGAGAGAGAAAAAAAAAAACCAACAAGATTCTAAGCTTAATAAAACAGATGCCTCTTCCTGACAAGGCAATGGCTGTCAGGCAAAGCAATGACTTGTGAACTGAATTGACCTTATCACATTCCACAAGGTGCCAATATTTATCTTAAGACAAGTGATTACTGATTATTGGCAACTGTCTAGAAAAACAAAGCTAATGAAAGTCAAGCTGTGAGTAATGACAATTATCCAGATATCACGAACTGTTCTAAAAAGAGAATTCCAGAGGATAGCCCATTCTCTGTCAGTGTCTCAGTGAAGGCAAGTATGGACAAACAAGTCTGCAAAACATTTTACAAAAGCTCTTAATGAACTGGAAAATACATCCGAATTGAACTTCACTACCTTTCCAATACATGGCAACCTCAAAAACAGAGGTGTCACCAGTAAACAGGAAGACCAGAGAAACAGGGAAAAGCAGCAAGAGAGTGCAGACACCTACAAAACCTGTGAATGTAAACCTCCTGGATACCTCAGAATTAACTGTTTTAAAATAGAAGTTATTTTAATAATATTAATATCTGGTTCTCATTACCTGACAGGCAGATATAAGTTAAATATTCGCCTTGACCTCCAGTTGCCAAGAAAGGAATCTTTTTCTTTGTCCTCCTCTTGACTTGGACAGCTCCCAGCATCCTTTCATCAAGAGGTGCAAAAATTTCCTTGCTGATAGCAGATTTGGCACTCATTGTAGAACAAGCGAAGACAGCACGCAGTGAATCTTCTAAAGAAGCAAAAGAAAGGAAAGTTGGGATTGACAACATTGTGTAAGGGCTCATACAAGAATCAGCAGCCAGTGAATTTGCAGGTGAAGTAATTTTCAATTTGCAGTTTAATCTCATACTTGCTTGAAATGTATTATAGAAACATTAATAAGCAAGGTCTTCATATTTGCAATAACTATGAAAAAATACAAACAAAAATGGGGTACTTATTTATTCTCCAAAAATGTCAAACACAATATGAGATGAGTAGTACAAACTGGGATCTGGAAAGTTTGTTAATTACTACCCCAACTGCACTTCCCTCTAACTGGCAAGGAGCACCCACTCTATTCCTATTCTGTAAGGAACATGATTTCACAATTCCAGATGACAAGTCTTTCCACTATCCAACAGTCCTTAGCGTCAAGAAATTCTTTATGCCCCTTCAAAACCTCCTTTAATGTAAATCCATTTCCCTAATTCCATTCATAATGGAAATAATTATATCATCTTCTACACAATAACTATACATGCAACAGAAGACCATTAAATTAATACCCTTCTTCTGCCTTTGATCATGCTAAGTAATGAATTCTTATTTGTTAGCTTCTTCCAATAGGTCCTACTTTGCAGTGCTCCTCTGCATCTAGTTACCATGCTCTGTACCCTTGACAAACACTCCACATTTTCCTTCAGCCAAAATGGATACAAAATTCTAAAAACATATCTGACTAATGCTAAGTATTTTAGAAATGTTACCCAGCAGCTCCCACATGTTATGCTCCTCTGGTTAACTGGCAGTGGATGCCCAATAATTAAGAAAATAAAGCAGTATGATGCTGACTCACAGTGAGTTCCCCCCCAAAACATACACATGCATAGCCCCCATGTTATATTTAGTTTTCTAAAAGTTGTACTTCACCAATGGTCTTAACTCTGCTTATTAATATCTATTATGTTCAAGGTCAATCTGAAATATTAAGCCTGTCATCCAAAAAGATTCAACAGCAACTTGAGTAAACTTTCTCTATTCCATCATCCTACTCATAAATAGTCTGTGCCTTAACCATGAATAGGCATTTGTTCAGGCATTCAACAAATCAAAATTAAAGGCACAGAGAGGGCCCATGGGTTGGACATGCAGAGTATCAGAGATCCAGCATATGGATCAACAGCATAGCTATCTACAGTAACAGAAGCTCAAAGAGTTGATCAGACTGCTGTAAAATTGAGCCAGCTGGTTGCAAAAATGCCTGCTTTGTGCCACTTCTATGATTAGTATTAGAAATACAAGAAATAATTAAGATATGGTCCCATTTCTCCAGGAATTGACTGCTAACTACATCAGAGGTTTCACTTAAATCCAGATAATTTATGGTAAAAGATCATGCGACCATCCTTCCCAATGCAAGATTCATAAATGTTACCCACACAGCTATTTACCTGTAACCTGTTCACATCTATAACCTCCTGGTAGGAAAGAGATACATTAAAAAAGAACATCTTTCTCGTCAAAGGAATTCTCCTAGTTTTTATTCTGTAATAGAGTAGGTTTTCTTAGTGACACAGAATACCTATCTATACATACACAAAGAATATGTATCTAGATATCCTAGAAATTATAGATCTAATACTCACATCTACTTGTGCTCTAATCCTAACATTTTATCATCACCACCAGGTTCTTCATGCTGGCCAAGAACAAAATGACAACAGTGAAGGAGGACCTGTTTTTCAATATGCTGATCACTAGCTGATATGCTATGATTTCCAACAAGTTGGTAACAGAATTTCCTAATTTACCCCATGACTTTCCTAGGCAAGGTGTTATAATTTATCAGGGACTATTTATTTTTTTTACGAAAGAAACGCATACTGGTGATCTTCTAGCTCCAAGGCCACTTGCCTCTCACTATTTGGTTACAGGTGAAAAAGAAAGCCAGCAGTAGCACAGTGGCGTCAAACCATTTGATAAGCAATGTAGAAAGCAAGCAAAGTCCTGAGCTGACTGGGCACTCTTTTTTTTTTTTTTTTTTTTTTTTTTTTTTTGAGGCAGAGTCTTGTGCTGTCACCCAGGCTGGAGTGCAGTAGTGTAATCTTGACTCACTGCAACCTCCACTTCCGAGGTTCAGTCGATTTTACTGCCTCAGCCTCCCCAGTAGCTGTGATTACAGATGCCTACCACCACGCCCAATTTTTTTTTTTTTTTTTTTTTTTTTTTGTATTTTTAGTAGAGACAGTGTTTCACCATCTTGGCCAGGCTGGTCTCGAACTCCTGATCTCAAGTGATCCACCCGCTTTGGCCTCCCAAAGTGCTAGGATTACAGGCGTGAGCCACCACGCCCGGTCTCATCAGGTGTTCTTGGACCAGCGCCTTCCCAGTTGTCATGGCTTTTGCTTTCTCATCTCAGGCTCACAGTTTTCTAAAACTGCAGTTAAAAGAAAAAGAAAGCTATCATTTTATCATATAAAATCTGTCAGAAAAAGGAAAGAAAGAGATACGTCGTTTTACCAAGTTTAGGAAACCCTGTTCTTTTTAAAAACTGGTGAGAAATAGAAATGACCTTTTATTGTTTTTTTATACTGATATTCAGTGACCAAGAACAAAAAAGAGAGAGAGAGAATAGATAAAGCCAGTAACTTCTTCACAGAGCACAAGTTTTAGAATCAAACTAATTCAGGTTCAAATTTGAGCTCCAACACCTAAGACTTAGGTGATTTCTGGGTAAACCTCTTAAAATTATAGACCCTTAGTTTGTTAACTACAACCTAGAGATGTCTTCACCTACCTTCTGGAACTAAAGAATTAAATGAAACAATACATGCAGAACACTTATTCTGTTGCCTGAATAATTAAAAAATGCTTAAAAATGAAACATTTTTATTAATTCTCCTACTATGATAAGATAAAAATCCCTCTGAACTTGTAGAAATTGAGTAAATGTAGCCATCTATATCAAAGGTATTTGTAAAAGTGAAACCCAACTTTATTTACAAATCCTCACCTTTTTCACCCATCAGTATGAGACCCTCCACGTATGGATAAACAGTCTCTTACAGGGATGGTTTTGCACTAAGTATCACAAGGATGAGGAATTTATAGGCGTCATTCTTTAGGACACTTGCTAGGAGATTATCAGACTCATTCTATGTGAAATTATCAAAAGTTTTTATTTGGGGCAATGACACTAACAGGCCACTGTGGAGCACACATGTATACATGTTTTTAATGTCACCCTGGGAATGGTAATGAACAGCAGATTAGATGGAAAAAAATCAGAAGGTAAAAGGGGTACTGTTATAGCTTCATAGCTATAACTTATGAGTATCCCAAATCTGATTGTATATCTGAATTCAGCATGGAGAGCTTTTCAAAAATGCAGACTCCTGGGTCCTTCCTTTATACCCACCAAATTAGAATCGTGGGATCTCTATTTTAAACAACTCTAACTGGTTCTCATGCAGCCATGCATGCATAAGACCTAATTTAAATGCTGTGAGCCTAGAGAGGAGCTAAAACCTAGACCAGAAAGGTAGTGATGGGAATGGAAAGGATGAATCATTTCAGGAGAGAATATAGGAAGACAATGCACAGGATTTTTTTTTTTTTCTCCATCTAAGCAGCTTTATCAGGCCTTACGTCTTAGTGTTGGTAAATCAATGTCCATCCCAAGGCTGAGAACCCATTGTAAGAAAGTAACATGAATATAACAGCAATGGTACACCAATGACCACTAGTTACTCCAACCTATATCACCCCATGGAAGCCTTTTCTTTTCCTGCTTCTACAGGGTATAATTACAAAATTTTCCATCCAAGAAACCAACCTACAATATGATTTGCAAGTCAAAGCAGCTGGTTCCCATAAGTGTTAGCTGCAAAAACTAATCACAGTTAGTTCTGATCTTCTCACTTTGTGCCATCTCATCCATACATACCACTCTTGTTAATGCATGGCTACTGCAGTGTGATGCCTTTCCACTGCCCAAGTAACTAGGAAATAAGACCATCCTTTAGATTAGGAGTTGTGAACTCAAATGACCTCAGAGATCAGGTAGATGAAGCACATAAGTAAAGGGGAACAGGCATAAGATGCTTTTGTATTCCAATATCAACATTTTTGGTTTCCAGTGGAACTGGTATTTGTCATCTGTGATCAGGAGATCAAGAGGAATAGTAGGAACTGCAGCAAATTAAAAACCTCCATTGGTAAGGCATTCATTAGCATGCAGGTGGTTCTAGGGCAGTATAGTCTACAGCCCTTAAATATTTTTCATATGAGAAGAAAGAACCTCCTCTGGTAAGGCAACAGTGCCATCTATTTAGCTTAATACTGTTAGATAGTTGATCTAACCTCATTAACTTCTCTGTTCTGATTCCATGTTTAACATGCAATCTTCTGACCATGTTTTGGCTTTGTGGCTGTGCCACACAAGTATTCGAGACTATGTGACAATTATACTTCCAATTGTAAAGGAGTAACCGAGAATTTTAGACATCGGTCTCATAAGCTAGTTAATGTGTCTCAGCGCTAAGGCAGATGAAGTCAGCATGCTGATTACAAGTTTCAGAGTCTTTGAAGTTAAGAACCAAGATAATGTCACCCTGGAAGACTTTTGGGGGAAAATCAGCTAGTCTTTCCTACTTCAAGGGAACTTCAGTTTGGTGAACCCAAATAAGTTAGAAATAAGATTCTCTAAAATTAGACTTCTTTGCATTACCACTTTGTTTTTGAAATTCTACAAATTCAATTTTAACTCCCACCTATAATGTGATGACACTAATCATGCATCCAATTCAGAGTGCCTTTCTGGCTTTAAACCCATATACCTAGCTGTAGACTGATCATTTCCACTGAGAGCTAACCTAGACCCTTCCTTCTCCCTTAATCCTTTCAAATCCCGATAACGAACAAATCACCAAATCCTGTGGATTTGATTTAATATTTCTAGACTAGCTTTTCTTCATTCTCGCTTCCTCTGCCTTAGTTTGGGTCTTCACCATCCCCGGCCTGAATAAT